ATCATACTCAGTTGCTTTAAGTTGTATGCTTTTAATCAATTCATTTATGGGTTAACACAAGATCCAATTACAAAAGAATATATCCCTGTAATGCATTACATGGAAGATGGAAGTCCTCAAAATGATGAATATTCTGATGAAAGATATGAAGAATATGGGGAATGTCCAACATGCAAAAGATATAATACTAATTATTCATGGTGTCAATCATGTGATCTAAAGTTGTTAACTGAAGGATGGACTAGTGGCAATGATACATTAAATGAATTGATTAAAAGCATACAACTTAAAGCAACTGAGTATGATAATGATAATTATCTTCAATGGATTCCTTATAATGATTTAATAAATATTGAAAAAATAGGTGAAGATGGGGTTGCAACTATATCCAAAGCTACTTGGTTAAATGGTGAGAAATATATAAATAATGGTGCTGAAAGAATTAGTGAAAATAGGACTGTGGCACTAAAAAAACTACATAATTCACAGAATATTTCTGATAAATTTCTTAATGAGGTAAATTATTTTATTTTTCTATTTATTTCAGATTTTTAAATGTTGTTGTTCTGAAATTCATTATATTTTTTTTTATATAGTTTAGAAATTATGTTATATTTTATGGTGAAGGTTTGATAAATAAGTTTTATGGACTAACACAAGATCCAGCTGCAAAAGAATATATCTTTGTAATGGAATACACAAAAGATGGAAGTTTTCAGGATTATGAAGATCAATATTCAAAAAAAAAGAAATGAAAAATATGGAGAATGTCCAACATGCAATAGATATAATACTGATTATTCATGGTGTCAATCATGTGATCCAAAGTTATTAACTGAAGGATGGACTAGTGACAATGAAACATTAGATGAGTTGGTTAAAAGTACACAACTTAAAGCAACATGTTATCATTATAGTAATCATCTTCAATGGATCCCCTATAATGATTTAACAAATATTGAAAAGATAGGTGAGGGTGAGTTGGCAACTATATCCAAGGCTACTTGGTTAAATGGTGAGAAATATGCAAGTGAAAATAATGAAAGAATTAGCAAGGATATGCCTGTGGCATTAAAAAAACTAAATAATTCACAGAATATTTCTGATGAATTTCTTAATGAGGTAAATTATTTTATTTTCTATTTATTTTCATATTATTTAATTATGATTAAATATTTTATTTTGTTATTTTAGCTTGAAAATTATACAAAGTTTCATGATAAAGTACATATTTATGGGTTAACACAAGATCCAACTACAAAAGAATATATTTCTGTAATGGATTACATGGAAGGTAGTAGTCTTCAAAATGATGAATATTTGAAAAAAAGAGATAAAAGGTATGGGGAATGTCTAACATGCAAAAGATATAATACCAATAGTTCATGGTGTCAATCATGTGATCCAAAGCTATCAACTGAAGGATGGACTAGTGGCAATGAAACATTAGATGAGTTGATTAAAAGTACACAACTTAAAGTGACTGGATATGATAATAATCAATATCTTCAATGGATTCCTTATAATGATTTAACAAATATTGAAAAGATTGGTGAGGGTGGGTTTGCAACTATATACAAAGCTACTTGGTTAAATGGTGATAAATATTCATTTAGTGAAAAAAGAACTAGTAAAGATATGCTTGTGGCATTAAAAAAATTACATAATTTACAGAATATTTCTGATGAATTTCTTAATGAGGTAAATTATTTTTTTTATTTATTTTCAGGTTTTTAGATATTATTCTGAAATTCATTATATTTTTTTTATATAGTTTAGAAATTATGTTACATTTTATGATGAAGATTTTTAAATAAGATTTATGGATTAACACAAGATCCAGCTGCAAAAAGAATATATTTTTGTGATGGAATACACAAAAGATGGAAGTTTTCAAGATTATGAAGATCAATATTCAAAGGGAAGAAGAGAAAAATATGGGAAATGTCAAACTTGCGATAGATATAATACTCATTATTCATGGTGTCAATCATGCAATCCAAAGCTATTAACTGAAGGATGGACTGGTGGCAATGAAACATTAGATGAGTTGATTAAAAGTACACAATTTAAAGTAACATATTATCATTATAGTAATCATCTTCAATGGATTCCTTATAATGATTTGGCAAATATTGAAAAGATAAGCAAAGGTGAGTTTGCAACTATATCTAAAGCTACTTGGTTAAATGGTTATAAAAGTGTAGATTATAATAATAAAAGAACTAGCAAGGATATTCCTGTGGTATTAAAAAAATTACATAATTCACAGAATATTTCTGATGAATTTCTTAATGAGGTGAATTATTTTACTTTCCTATTTTATTTTCAGATTTTTAAATATTATTAATTCGCAATTCGTGATAAACGGAAAGGATCGACATACATTTTAATAGTAAAATGCGGGGTTAATAACTTAATA